AACACTGCTTTTCATGTTTACAATGTGCCCACTGTCAGGGTCTGCACACTTTTGGGTGTTCTGCAGCTTCACTGGCTGTTAATTTATGTTTACAGGTTGCCAGAATAAGATTCAGTAGTTTGCAAGCAGGAGTAACAATTTTTCTCAGGAAGGTAAACTTCTGCACATCTGGCTGATAGCAGCTGGAAGTGACAACTGAGGCAACAGGTCTTTACAGGTATGCCCCTGGGATCACACCATACTTCATGTCCCCAAATCTTTGCTGTGTTACCCAAAATATATATATATGAATGTCTATAGGCAAATATGTGTGGTTTCCTCTGTTCTTATTTCCATGTTCTCTCTCTTTTCCCCAGTTATTGCAAGTCAGTAGGAACCAAGGTCTAATTCTAGTGCAAGTCCTTATGTGCAGTTTCTAGCACGCTTTTGCCTTCAGCTTGGCCTTCCTTCCCAGCCCTTCCTTTAGCTGGCCATAGCTTGGTTCACTACTTTCAACACTTTCAGTTCACAGAGGAGAAAGCTTATCCTCTGGTTTTATGGGGTTTATAGGTTTTTATGAGTGTTGTATGAGCCCCAGGAGAGCTGCAGAATTCTTCCCCGAAAAATGAGATGCGTGCACTGGATTGAAGCATGGAGGAAAGAGTGGAGCCCCACTGCCTGCTTGAAGAGTGTCATGTATTTTCTGGTCTTTCTGCAAGCCCAGCATCATTGCCTTAGGCAGACACAGACAGCTCAGCCTGACTGGAAAGTGCCTTGAGGGCAAGGACCGAAAGTTTCAATTTGAGAGCAGCATGGCTCAGCCTCTTGGGAGGGTTTATTCTGCTGACTAAGGCCAAAACAGCATTCAGTGAGTGGAAGGACTTGATCTGCGGCTGAACCTTTTCAGGAGCGTGTGAAATTCTCCCACCACCTTGTTCCTCCTTTTGTGTCATTGTGCAGCTTGTGTAGATGCAGAAAGCAAAAGACTTCATGTGTTTGGAGGTGTAAAGCTGCCCCAAACAGCTTCTTGCAGGGAGGAAAATACAAAAAAAAGCAGTGAAATACACCAGTGAAAAACCCAGCCGTTTTCTGGGTGGGATGCAAATATTGCCATCATGGATCTAAATAACAATCCCTCTTCTGGTCCAGCAGTAGATAAAAGAAGATTCAGAGAACAGAGCAATGGATACAAGAAACATTTTTATTGGTAAAAATTTCCTGTCAGGAGTCTTGGCAGCTGGTAATTGCCTGATGTCGTGGTTCCAGGGAATTTAACTTTCCATCCTTATTTATGTATTGGCAAAGGTAACTCTGGAAACTCTCAACAGCCAGCCTGTTGCCTAATTCCTTCTTGAATCCTGCTGAGCTCATGGTCTTTAAGGTACCTTATGACAGGCTCTAATTATGTGTTGTGTAAGAACACATGTTTTGTTACACAACACAAATGTGTTTCCCTTCTATTTCTTGCATGTCTGTTTTCTCAGAACATCGCTTGCTTTACAGATGCAAAGGATAAATAAAAACACCCATTTACCTTCTCTGAATTGTTCAGTACTTTGCATCCCAACCAGTATGTGCCCTGACCAGGTTAGATGCTGTATATGTGTGTATGTAGACCAGCTGTGTTGATATGTGTTGGTTGCAAGATGAGATCAGTCTCCATTAATTTCCTCAGGAGTCTCCTCACATGTAGAAGAGAAAGTGCAAATATTTTATGAAACAAGGCAAGATGGCAATGCCACACTCCCTTCCTAGTATAAAATCATTGTGCAAAAGATGAAACGTTGGTCCTGTGTATAATATGGTAGCACCTGAGCAAAAAATACTCATAAGCAGGATAACCGGAGGTAGCATCTAGTCAGTCCTGCCCCAGGTAGGTGCTTCATGTGCTTGGTGCCTGTTCCCATCTGCTGCGTGTCATTCATTCCCTCCTCCTCCAGAGAGGACTGTGTGTACAGTGCACTGCTTTGTCTGAGTGGGGCTTTGAGTGCTGCATGTGGTAAGAAGTAGGAGTTTTGCACTTGAATCAAAACCTGATGAGATTTGTGGTGGCTCTTCTGTCCTGAGGGATTTCATTCCCTAGTCTTGCACTGTTTCTCAAGAAATTCCAGTCTTTTGCAGAAACTAACTTCATCCCAGTTAGAGGCAAATGATTTGTGCCTAAAGAACAAAGCTGTTGCCCTCATGCTGAAATACTGAGCCTGGCTGTGAAGTGCATCAGAGGTAACAACAAGAGAGTATGTATTTAATGTAATAAGAATGGGGCAGGAGGGACAGTGGGATATAGGTAGTGGTGAACTGCACTGCCGGAGAGACTTTAGAGTGCTTAAGAGTGGTTGGGTTCACACATGGCCTGATTCCGTTTGGACCACTGTGGTGATGGTGATACAGTGTGTGTTGAAAAAAAATAAAAAAACAACCAACCCAAAACCCAACAAACAAACAGATGGGGCTGTGGATGTAATTGCTGGCTCCAGATGTTCTCATCTGACCAGATGCTGGCCAGGATCAGGGGGAGATCCTCCATAAACAAGGGATTCATTGGAGGAGCTGAGATTTCTCACCAGTGCTCCTTAATTCCTTCCTCCACAGGAAATTTGAACCATGCCACCACAGTCTTCTGGATTTCTATGACCTCTTTATGTGGCACAATACTGTCTTGTGGTTGGCAGTGCTGAAAACCACAGGAATGTTCAGGGAGCCGAGTGTGGATCCTTTGCTCATCAGCTGCAAGGAGGGAGTCCTCAGTACTGTCCACGTGATTTCTTGCACATCCTGGTCTAACTCTGGACTGCACTGGGCTCCAGTGGTCTAAATTGGTAGTTTCAGGCTGGGTAGTGCGGCACAATGGCTTTTTTGTTGGTTTGCCTAGAAACAGAATGTTTGGCACTGGATGGAAGCTGGCCAGGGCTACCATAGATAGAGGGATTTTGGAGCAGTGGAGAATATGCTTCCCCCCCCGCCTCCCCGGCCCCTGGCCAGCCTTTTTCTTTGTCTAGGCTCTCTTTTACTTTTTTGAAGGAGGTAGAGAGGAAGGGAAGATTCGGTCCCTGGACGAGACGATCCCTGTTCAGCCAGGAGTGGTAGGGGTTGTCCTTGGTAGCCAGGGAGACCACTGGGCAGAAGCACAGGGTGGGCTTCACAGAGAGATCGCATCACACAGGTCATCTCCCTCCAAATTAAAAACAGGGGCAGGTTAGCTGTGTACCCCTCTGCAGGGCTTGCGTCACGTGGCTGGAAACCTGGCTTTGGTTAGGAGCAGCTTTTGAGAGCAACTTTTCTCCAGGAACATAAATCCAGGAATGAAGTAGGTAAAGCGGAGACCTGGATTAGACATTGAGCTGGAATTAGTTTGGAGAAGAAGTGAAGTAAAACACCTGCTGGGTAAGGGGGAAAGGGGGACTTTTGGCTTCATGGGGAGATAGATCTGCTTTTTCTCTTTGTTTTGCTAGTGTATCTGGAGGCTGTAAAACCTGTAGAGAGCTGCTGAGCTCTGGCTTCTACAAAATAGGTCTTTTTTGGCTTACCCTGCTCCCTTCTCTGGTCTATACCTGGCACCTCCAGGTGAAACAAGGAGGTGGTATTTCCTTCTTTCTGTTGCCCCCAGAAGAGAAGTATCAAGGAGAAAGATGGACAGGGAAAGGGAAAATCAGGGAGAACAGACTAATGAAGGAGCTCTGCCCTGACAGGCTGCATTGTAACCGAAGCTACAGCCTACAAGACCTGACATGGGTGGGAATGCTGAAGGTGCCTAAGTTAGTCTTGCAGTAAGTGTTGCATGCACACCTCAATACTTGATTTTATGTGCATACATGGGATCTGCAGACATCTGAGCCACTTCTGGTAGCCCCACCATTTTATTCACTCTGAAGAATTCTGGAACAGCTTCTTCTCAAAAGAAAATATTGGGAGCTGTTCAATTTAGAGACAAAGTAGAGCTTAGTCTAAGCTAAGTAGAGCTAATTTTAATGCTGCACCTGGATGTGGACTCTGGTCTAATTTTAATTCAGGGATAGCAACAATGCTGCTTGCACTCAGCTGGTAAAGCAAAGCTATATAGAAAGAGGATCACTGTAGTTAGCCTTTATAGTGGTAATACCTCAGTTGTTAAGTTGCTACACAGGAATATTATTAAATACCCTGCTGCATAGAAAGGGGCCATCTGTGTGTTTTTGCAGCCGCATCTGAGGTTGTGTCACATGGCAGAGAACAGGGTAGATGCACTATTGCTCACTACTACCCCTCCTGCCTTCAAAAGGTTACATCATATACTCATTCCAGTGGATGGAAGTGCTGTGTCTTCATCTGCGTCTTTCTTCAAGGCAGGTTAGCAGTGTTTTCCAGAAGAAATCTGGACACAGGGAGGACTTTGGTTGGGCTTGTTAGACCCTGTTGGGAGTGGATGGGAAGGAAATTCATTTTCCCTTGGATATCTTCATGGACCAGCCCCAGTGGCAGAAACAATGGGGATGCTTGACAGAATTCTAAAGCTTTCACTTTAATGCTTTATTTTTTTTAAATACTAAAGTTTACCATTAAGCACACATTCTTTGCAGATGTAGAAGAGATGCCCTTACTGCTCCCATTGAATGTCTTGGAGTTACTCGGGAAAATAAGCAATCCTTCCTACTAACTTAGAGGACAGTCATGTTTCTGCCAATGCAGAGGTTGCTGTACTTCAGTTTGTGACTCATAAGAAATTAAAAAAAAGGTTTGGAAAATAAACAGTGGGAGTCTTGTTCCAACACTCTTATTTAGCTGAAAATCATCTGAAATCTGAGTTGGTTGCCTTCAGTCAGCTAATTCAGGGGAATGAAATCTTTATTTATTACATGGTAAAATCTGTCTCTGAATTAACATGATGATTAAGAAGAAACTGCAGATTTCTGGTGCCCTGTCTTGCTAAGGTGGTGTTTATGCTGTAGACAGACTGGTTGGTCTGCACGTTTTTGTTAGAAGCTGGAATTGTCTCTGATGCTTTGTTCCTGTTAAAATACCATCATGTCTCTGTTTTCTTGCAGAATGAAGAGACGCAAGTGTCCCTACAAATGTCCCTCACGAAGGAAGATCCTGATCCTGTGTGTTACGGGGTGGCTGATTGCACTGCTGAAGCTCCTTCATGTCGAAAGACACTTTTTTCCCTCTAAGGGTATTTATTTGGTTGAGCACTTCTTGAGCACTTCTTCTTATGTTAGAAACAGGTATTCCTACCTTAGAAATGAATTCCAGTACGAAATTAATTGTTCATCTATATATGAACAAGATCCCCATGAAATTGGCAAGAGTTTAGAAATAAGAAGAAAAGAGATAATTGATTTAGCTGATGAAGATGTCATAGCAATGACGAGTGCTTGCCATGCATATCGTTCACTTAGGAAATACCACCTAAAACCTGTTTCACCAGAGGAGGAGAGTTTTCCAGTCGCCTATTCTTTGGTTGTTCACAAAGATGCAGTAATGGTAGAAAGGCTCATACATTCACTGTACAGTCATCAAAATATTTACTGCATCCATTATGACCAAAAAGCAGCAAAAAGTTTCAAATCTGCTATGAACAATCTAGCTAAATGTTTCCCCAATATTTTCATTGCATCAAAATTGGAGACAGTGGACTATGCACATATTTCGCGTCTGCAGGCAGATTTCAATTGTTTGTCTGATTTGATGGACTCTTCAGTTCCCTGGAAGTATGTTATTAATTTGTGTGGCCAAGATTTCCCTTTGAAGTCAAATTTTGAATTGGTTGCTGAACTGAAGAAACTCGATGGAGGAAACATGCTGGAAACTATAAAGCCAAGCAGTAGCAAAAGAGAACGATTTACTTATCATTATGAACTTATGAAAGTGCCTTATGAATACATGCAGATGCCTGTAAAAACCAACATTTCTAAGGATCCGCCACCTCATAATATTGAGATATTTGTAGGCAGTGCCTATTTCGTTTTAAGCCGAGCATTTATTCAATATACCCTTGAAAGCTCTCTTGCAAAAGATTTTTTTGAGTGGTCAAGGGATACATACTCTCCGGATGAACATTTCTGGGCCACTCTGGTACGCGTTCCTGGGGTCCCTGGGGGGATTCCAAGGTCAGCCCAGGACATAACAGACCTACAAAGCAAAACTCGTCTGGTGAAATGGAATTATCTTGAAGACCATTTGTATCCTCCCTGCACTGGTACCCACCTTCGCAGTGTCTGCATCTATGGGACTGCAGAATTAAGATGGCTTCTGAATTATGGGCACTGGTTTGCCAACAAATTTGACTCCAAAGTAGACCCTGTCTTGGTAAAATGCTTGGCAGAAAAACTGGCAGAACAACAGAAAGAGTGGGTGTACTTGTCCTCTGATAAATACTTTCTGCACATAAATTCTATGAATGCATCTCTATAGCAGCACTGTCTTCCCTGCTTTCGGTACTGTGTACTGTTATAGCACAGCACCTGCAGTTCCTCTGCCTTGACCTGCTGCAGGATGTTAGCAAGCGAAACATCTGTTCTGCATAAAGTTCAGGGCCCTTGAGAGCCCTTTTCATTTATTTATGAAAAGTCATGCCTCTCTGATTAACTGTTTTGTAACTTGCCACAATAATCCTGTAATTGTTCTTCAGCATGATTCTGAGAGGGTGAAGTTTGCTTTTGGAGGCTCTGGTGCTGTCTGTCCCAATGGAGTATTTCAGAAATGTGTTTTACATCAAGGGTGTTTGCGTCTTTCCTAAGAAACTCCAGCACATCTGTCTGTCCATCCCCTTTTCCTTCACTTTTGCTTTTCTTAGAGGTATGAAACAAAGACCTCTGTATCTGCTACCTCAGGAAAACTGGAAGTGCCCAGCTCACGGACAAAACCAAGAGATCAGCATGACACCAAATGAGCCATGTGGCCTCACCTGAATTCCCAAACTTCCCGTCTGTGGGAGCTGGCAAAGATCTTTGCAATGTGAATATGACTGGATGATATAAGGGAAAGAAGATCCTTAGATACTGCATTGTCTGTAGCATTGTTCTCCTCTCCCAGCTCATCTCTGCATTGCTTTTCCTTCTGTGAAGTGTGTGTGCTCAGGTGCTGTGCCATGCCTGTGAAATCAGTGGTGGTTGATTGAAACAGAATTATGCGCTGTTATTCTTCAAAGGTAGTACCTGAGCGTGCCCTAAGGGTAGTCTCTGCATCCCCTTAGAGTAGATATCCATGCCCAAAGAGGTCAATCTTCATTTCTATCTCTGCCCATAGAAATATCCTCCTGTGAAATGCCAGTCCTCTTGAGACAGTATGTCTAACACACAGTGGATAACAAGTGCTATTTCTAGTTGGTGTTCAGCGATGTGGTGCTATGTTGAAATGCACCGCATGCGAAGTCGAGCAGTAATCATAAGAATAGACGTATTGCAGAGATGCAGACCCTGTGGAGAAGTGTCTTTCTGCATAAGTCTCATGGCCTTGTGCTACCACGATCCCAGGCTGACGGGTGCCTGAGCAAGCCCTGGTTCAGCTGTAGAGCAACTGTTCTCCAACAGCCTTTGCTTCCCATGGCCCTGCCAGGAGCCTACTTGCAGCCGGGCTCCCCATGCTACGGTGTGAGGGAAGTGTTTGTTAGTGTAGGGGTCTCTGCAGAAACTGTTGCAACTCAGAAGTGCCCCTTGGCATTTGGAGGGTTCCTCTGGAACGTTGCTCTGCCACAAGTTGGGTTTCAGTGGTTCCAGTGGACCCTGGGGTCTAGCTTGCTCCGTGCTGCTGTCGTCTTTCTACCCATCTGGCTTTTATTAAGGGGCCTCTTCCCACAAGTAACTTTGGGTTATCTGGTCTTATCGATCCATAAATTGCTGCAATAATGACCATGTCTTGTACCCATGAGAAATCTTTGTTTCTTATTTGAGTTGAAATAACCAAGTCATTTTTTGGTCTCAGTTTTTGTTTATAAATTTAGTCACGGTCAAATCATCTGTGGCTTAAGATTGTGTTTGAGAGTCAGGAGTCCTGGTCTTTTTCCTCATTTGTGACACTGATTTCCTATGAGACCTCAGACAAGGCATCTGAGTTTTCTCTTTCAGCTGTTCCAGCTGTAAAATGGGAACAATGAAGTTCTATTATCTTGCTAAGCACTTCAAAACCTATGGGTGTTGTGGGTTGGTTGCACAGCACTAATTGCTTATCAAACTGTTTATGGAGTCTGTGGACGCACAGGTCAAGTATTTCTTTGATGTATTGTTTCTGAAATAAATGAGGATTATTTTTAAAGTGTGTGTTGCTTACTTCAGTGACTTGCCATGCTGCCCACAGCTGTCCTGACTTCATATGATTTATAGACACTTTGTAGAAAATGAAATATTGGCAGCATTTACAGATTCATACATCAGTACTTGTATATAAAGTAGAAAGTTCCCACATGGAAAAAGGTTAATAAAAGAGAATGTTAGGATTCCAGAGGGCCAAGCCACAGCCTTCTGTACATATAAATTGATGTTTAATGGTATACTTAAAATTTTTTATTTACTTAAACTGTCTTTATGTATGTATATACACACATCCCCATTTGTGTTTGAGTGGTTTGCTCTACCTCAATTTTATAAAAATAATCCACCAGCACATTAAACTTAACTGAAGTAAATAATTTTCATCATCATGCAACTTTGGGCTACTTTAACTGAATTAGGTTGAACAATACCTGTAATTTAACTGGTTTGAAATAAGGCAGTTTGTGCTTCCTAGGTAGTGAAGAAGCAGATGCGGAGATGGCACAGTGTGAGGCAGCATCATCCATTGCAGTGGTACATTTGCTAGCTGGCAAAGTACAAGTTGTACAGGCATGGTTGCAATTTAATGAAGTGCTGATTTTCTAATGAATTACAGGTATTTCTGCTTTTTGAAGGTAACTTTAAAGGCTATTCAAGCTTGTAGAAAGGGAGTTCACAAAAATCATAGGATCACTCAGGTTGGAATATCATCTCGCCCAGCCTCCTGCCCACAACAGAATTGACATTAAATTTGGGCTGGGTTTCTTGGGCTTTGTTCCAGGGAGTCTTGCAGATATCTAAGAAAGATTCTGCAGCCTTCTGGGGCAACATTTTCCAATGTTTCCAGGAAAAAGAACAGTCAAAATGTAAGTCCTTAACTTTTGAATAATTTTCTCCCTGTTTTTTGACTTTGCATTCAGCAATGTAGGTGCCATACCGATGTCCAAATCATAGTTAAGTGATTAGACTACGGGGGTGGGTAGCAACTTCATTATTTACCTTTGACTTCATCACCTCTGTTCTTTGCACAGGTAGGTCTTTCTTTGCTGAAAATGGACCTGAGGCATGATCCACAAACACCTTTCTCTCTGTGAGAAAAATGGCTAAACTTAGTTTATGGCAAAGCAAATACAAAGGTTTATTTGGGCTGGAATTTAGATTATAGGCAGTTATCTGCCATTCTGCTCTCACAGGGATTTTTTTTGCCTTAGTAAAGCTCAGACATCCCTTTCCCTCTCTTCCTGTTCCTCACTCCTTCTGAAAAAGTTATTTCACAAATTTGAAATGCACATACATTTGCACGTATTAGATGGTTTCCCCTGTCTTTGTTCTGCTGAAGAAGCCCCATGCTGCCTTTCTTCCACACAACCTGCCCCGTGCTGGCTGCATGGAGCATCTGGACTATCAGTTAACCTGATTTTCCCTTTCAGGAAGGATGTGTGGGCAGAGCACTAGTGCTGCTCCTGGCTGTCAGCTCTGGTGTACCCTTCCAGCCCACCATTTTGTTAGCAGCTGAAAACAGCAAAAATGCTGAGTGCATTCTAACATGGAAAAGTTAAGTGAGGAAGAAAAGGAAATAATGAGCTTTAATGAAAGAGATGGAGAGACAACATTTGTACAACTTGTCTTGCTAATGAATTTATTGAGCTGGACATGGAGTCAGGAGGATAGTATATACAAACATAAAGGCCTCACAATGTATCTTCTTTGATGTTGGAATAAAAGGATGTGAAAGGAAAGACTAGAAAGTAGACACCTAATCTGTAATTGTAATTAAAACAGACTTGGCCTGTTGAGCATTTCTATGGCTGCTATGTCATTACTGTGGCATTTGAATCAGAATGTATAAACATGAGAAAACCGGCATTTGGGCAGCAAATGTGGAGTACATATGCTACACTAATGTGTGTTTACAGCGTGACCTTGATTTTTAGTTCAGATATAATATCTGTTTCTATTTGGTGTTTTTACAGAACTTGCGTCATTCTTGGTGCTGATAATTTCCATGCACATAGAAATGATACTTCAGAACAATATGCTCTGTTAGTAAGATGCATTAAGTCTGTACTGAAAGTACCCCAGCATTGTTTGGTATTTCAAGCTGATAGCTGAACGCTCTATCCTGGTCCTGTTTTTTCAGAACTGCTGGGCTCTTTGATTTTTCTATGGCTAAAGTATACTAATCTTTATAGTACCACTCCTTCTTAGAAAAGGGAGAAAGCAAAACCTGTGAAAATTTGGATGAAGCATTTTCTCAAGTGAGACAGTGTATGGGGTTTGCATGGCAAGGTTTTGGTATCAGGGAGGCTACAGGGGTGGCTTTTGTGAGAAGCTACTAGAAGCTTCCCCCATGTCTGACAGAGCCAATGCCAGCCGGCTCCAAGATGGACCCACTGCTGGCCAAGGCCGAGCCCATCAGCGATAGTGGTAGTGCCTCTGGGATCACATATTTAAGAAGGGGAAAAAATCTGCTGCACAGCAGCAGCTGGGAGAGAGGAGTGAGGATATGTGAGAGAAACAGCCCTGCAGACACCTGGGTCAGTGCAGAAGGAGGGAGAGGAGGTGCTCCAGGTGCCGGAGCAGAGATTCCCCTGCAGCCCGTGGTGAAGACCCTGGTGAGGCAGGCTGTCCCCCTGCAGCCCAGGGAGGTCCACAGTGGAGCAGATATCCACCTGCAGCCCAGGGAGGACCCCACGCCAGAGCAGGTGGGTGCCTGAAGGAGGCTGTGACACCATGGGAAGCCCGCGCTGGAGCAGGCTCCTGGCAGGAGCTGTGGCCCAGTGGAGAGAGGAGGCCACACTGGAGCAGGTTTTCTGGCAGGACTTGTGACCCCGTGGGGGACGCACACTGGAGCAGTCTATGCCTGAAGGACTGCAGCCTGTGGAAGCGACCCATGCTGGAGCAGTTCGTGAAGGACTGCAGACTGTGGGAAGGACTTGTGTTGGAGAAGTTTGTGAAGGCAAGGGAAGAGTGTGACGACTTCTTCCCTTGAGGAGGAAGGAGTGGCAGAGACAAGGTGTGATGAACTGACCACAATCCCCATTCCCCATCCCCCTGTGCTGCTGGGGGGAGTAGGTAGAGAAAATCAGGAGTGAAGTCAAGCCTGGTAAGAAGGGAGGGGTGCGGGGAAGGTGTTTTTAAGATTTGGTTTTTTTTCTCATTATCCTACTCTGGTTTGATTGGTAATAAATTAAACTAGTTTCCCCAAGTTGAGTTTTTTTTCCCTATGATGGTAAGTGGTGAGTGATCTCTTCCTGTCCTTATCTCGATCCACGAGCCTTTCATTATATTTTCTCTCCCCTGTCCAGCTGAGGAGGGGAGTCATAGAGTGGCTTTGGTGGGCATCTGGTGTCCAGCCAGGGTCAACCCACCACAGACAGGAAGGAGCCAGATGGTATAGTGTAAAGGGAGACAGGGACAATAAATTTTCTTGCTACAGTATGTATGTGTCTTAGCAGAGATCTGCTTAAATGGAAATGCTTGCCTATAGCATGGTTGCTGCTGCCATCTCTGATTGAGGTAAGCTAAACTTGAGTTAGTATATTTTGAAAATGAAAATCATTTAGGAAAAAATACCTGGAGCCTGTATCAGTTTCTCTTGTGTAAAAAATAGGTGCTCTGAAAAATCTTGAAATTCTACTGCAGCTTGACTAGCGGGTTAAAAAAAGTCTCAGGAGACTGTGCTGTTTGCATCAGAGAGGGCAGAAGAAGGAGCCTCTGGATTTTTTGCTCAAGGCAGGTCAATGGTTTTTAATGATGCTTTCTGTGTCATTTGTAGAAACCAATTTAAAGACATGTTAATTTGAAAAACTAGTGACTGACTTCCACCTTGCACCTCAAGTGTTTGCTATAACACATATGAGTTTATTTAAAAGACTCTTCCCTTGGCTATAATTAGAGACTTCATTGTAATTTAATTAAAAGCAGCAGCTTTTCTATTGCTGAATCTCTTTTCTCTGCCTAAGTTTGTTCTCTGAGATGGAAAGGATGGCAAGTCTAAGCTTTACCTGGGGTTATGAGAAGATTAGAGAGTATACAGAGATGCTGCAGATGGCATTATTACCACCATACCATAGCAGCTGGGAAATAAGAATAACTGCATCTTATACTGTAGAGGTTCAAATCACCATTTATTCATAAACATAATAGGAATTGAAAATCATACAGTTGGAAATAACTACATGCAAATATTGCAGCACTAAATTGCTAGGGGCCATAGGAAGTAGGATGGAATACAGGCGGTATGTTCATTTTTATCTGATGTATGAAAAAATTAGCTGTAGGTGAATTGCAAGACCTTTCAGTTAGCAGAGAAGTAGAAGTCCTCCTACAGAGGTTTGAAATGGCAGAATTGAAGGCATAAGCTTATTTTCGCCAATAAATGTTATGCTTCCTTTTGTTTCCTACAGTTGTTTCTTACCTTTTAATACAGCAGTTCCAGCTCCTTTATGGCCTTATGATACCCATATCAATTAAATTTTATCACATACTTCTCATTTACTCCAAGGTGCTTTGGAGTCCAGAACTTGCTTTCTGTCCTGTAGCAGGTCTAAGGGCTCTTAACACAATCAGCATGTGGCATGGCTGAATTTCCATTTAATTGGCTTTAGGAGGACATGTGCATGTGCTCATCTACCCTGGGCCTGAACTTGTACAACAGTTATGAACTTCCATCACTAGGAGATTACCCATATTTTACTCTGCTTGTGTATCAAGGAAAAATTATCAAAGAGATCCTTTGCTCCTATGCCAAACTTAACTTCTTCCTCTTGTCTTGAA